TATTCCAAATAAAATATTTATTTGGGGGAAAATTGTGCTTAAACACCAGCATCCAGGCCAATAAAGATTGCTTGTGAAATTGAGCTAATTTGTTTACCAATTTTAAAATCAGATCTCAGCAGACAAAGTGGAACACTTTTGGAAATGTATACGACATGCTGTCCTTTTGTTTCATGAATTGAACCAGTTAACCTTAGATGTATTTTTAAAGTTTCGGAACTTAGAGAATCCACCTCTGCTCTTTTGTTTACATAAAAATTCCTTTCTCAAAAAATGATGTATTCCTACAAATGAATCACAACTGCACAGACACTGCCTCCAAATTATATAATTTTCGCAAGATGACAACGGATAAGATGTTTAGTTAGTGTTAGTTTTTAGAATTTGTTCAAATCACTAATGCCAAGCACAACAGAACATCCAAAACCCAGTTGATAGATGTAGATGTATATCTGTGTGTGGGGAATAAGCTTTAGAACGGCACATTATGTGTTTATCCCTTCAGCTCAGGACTCATGAGAACTGCATTTACACAAGGCTCCAAAACAACAGTCCTGCTGCGTCAGTTCTGTGTAGATAAGCTTGGTTGTAATTGCAGTATGAGACGGAGGAGTGTGAGAAAGATGAAGAGGCATGTGTGGGTGGATGGATGGATGGAGCGCTGAAGGTTAAAGCTCTGATTCCTCTGTTCTTTATTTGACAGAATGATAGAAGAGTCCTCAAATGAACCTCAAAGTGCAGTGACTGTAATGTCACAGCATGATCAGCCTCAAAACACAAACATATGTCTGTCTGACATGTTATTGGGTCTCTCAGTTTAGCCTTCCAGCTCAGCTTTGACCGCTGTGAGACGGGAGAAAAAAAGTGCCAAACATCTACTGACTTTCATAGACAAAAAACAATACAAATATATCCCTTTAAATAAACATAATAAAAATATATGTTTATAAAACAAAGAATTTATTTAGCAAAAGGTTGGGTTTTGGGTTAACAGTATTGTGTTTTTTTTGTTTTTTGCATAGAGCAACACAGATTTCTACTATAGCCTAGGCTTTATATAGGCTAAACCCGACTGCTCTTTGTAACCCACAGTGAGAGACATTTTCCGGACATTAACGACAGCGTCCGAGCAAAGCCGATCTTAAATGGTCTTTAAAACGAAATCAGCCGAAGCCTTCCAGATAACGCCGATTTGTAAAACAGAAGTGTCTTTCTTTGGCAGATTGGGGGCGGTGAAGAAGGGTTGGAAAATAGGAGGAAGAACAAAAACATCCTTTTAAAACCATATTTATTTATTTAGCGTGCCAATCCTTCTGCTGCTTTGGATTCATAGCCTATACAGAGGTAATTACAGCACTTCTTTATAAGATGTAATAGTTTTTTTTTTTTTTTAATTGGATGCTATTTCAAAAGACAACAGGAATAATAGGGTTAAATGATGCAGTTTGTCGTTTACCGCATTTTAACTTTATTCTCAGATACAGCTATATGATTAGCCTATTAACAGATGATTTAGGGCGTTCCTTGATAATGTGAGGCAATGTGGGACATCTTTAAAATGTTAATTTCCCCGTTATAATCAATGCAGAACTCTAGCCTAAAAGGTAAAACCTTTTGGGACAGCTGTTAGACAACTGTAAGATATTTAAACGCAGGCTTTATGTTTATATGGACATGAAATTGTTCATTTCTGTTGCTTATCTTGCTCGCTTTATTAGCGCAAATTCTTATAGAATGGCTGTAGCGTAGTCTTGTCAGTGCAGTTAAAGTGGCCGTATTCGTAACACGAGAAAATATTGATTCATAGTTCATAGTCGATTGATGCTTCCTTCTGAATGGGACATCAAATACTGTCCACCCACTGCTCTCTGGTTAACACGCCTGACTTTATTAACGCCACGCCGCTGAGCGCTACTGTATAAAACCACAATGTTTCGCGACGCATCAGTTCTTTATGTAATAGAGCCGACAGACATTTTTCATTACGGGTTTTTGAATGTCTGTTCATCATCTCGCTAAATAAGAAAGCCCCGGTCGTCCGCGTGCTCTCGTTTCTGTACATAACCTGCTTTGTTCGAGCTATTTGTGTGCGTATAAAACGCGAATGAATGGTAATGTGTGTAGATGTGAATCCCCAATTTATTTGGGGTGTAATGGGGCCCTCGGGGTCTTTTTGGTGGGACAGTTCCAGCAGAGCAATGCGACACACCCTTGTCGCATCAGTGGGTTAATACGGAAAGAATAAGGCGGCTAACGCAACGTTCCCTCACGACTGAAAACCGCGGATATATGCTGTTAACCCTGTAATTCTCGACACGACAGCGAATTTCGCCTTTATACAGACGCAATCCTTTATGAAAGATGGATTAATTGGTTGGTTAATTAGTGCCAATCTGACAGACAAGCGCTATGAACTATTTATTTCATTATTTGAGCGCTAATGTCAATCTTAAACTGTTTAAGATGAAAAATGGGTGCGCTTTCAGTTTAAGTGCATTTATAAACCAAACAGACTTATTAATAAATATGCGGTGTTATGAAAGCGACTGTAAATCAAGTGGAAGTGGAGCAGATGCATTTCTATTTTTCACGCTGAGGCTCTCAGCTTTGATTCAATACGAGGCCAGAGTAGCTTTGGCAAAGGACTAGAACAAAGCAGATCGTCTCTCTTTCTCTCTCCTTCTCTTGAAGGATTTAGCCACAATCAATGCGTTAGCAAAAAATGAACTTTCTAGTTACTGAAATGCTGTTTTTGGTGAACACTTTTATATTGGCCTCAACCTGACAGTTGAGATGTCTGTAAAAGGTAAAGCGTGAACCTTTTTAAAGGGAGGGACAGAGACAGATTTGAGCTCTGAATTTCTTGGGGTTTTGGCAGAAATGGCACGGTCAGCTGCCTTCAGCCTGCATGGTCTGGGCAAGCCGTCCTGCCAGAAACTGGATGTCATGGCATTATGGTTAGTGTCCATTCCAGACATCCAATTACCTCCCTTTATCAGATCTACAGTATCTGTAGAGACACCGTAGATCAGACTGTCAGGCTGCTGTACAGGTTGACATAAAAGCAATATTTGGTCTCTTTTCATGTGCATGGGAGGATTCATTTGGCATTAATGATTCAGGATTAGGCTTTCAGTTAGATAACTATCCTATTTTACTTTACTTTTTT